CAACTCTCCTCTCCCACGTGCTTCAAGAGGAGCCTGCCTGTATGAATTCTCTCCCATCCACATGTCAGTACCTCCAGTCTCTGCCACCACTTCCCAGCGAACAAGCTGAGGGTTAGGTTACTCTTCCTGAGGGAGAACCCTGGGCATCGCAGGGGAAGATGTAGATTCTAGGATGGGGCTCAGGTGAGGCAACTGTGGGAGGCTCTAAGGAAATAGGGTCACTCTAAGTTGAGTGCTGCAGAGAATGGTGCCGAGGGAGTAGGGGCAGTCAATGAGAGTCTCAGTAACACCATGTATGGATACCAGAGCGAGGATAAAGGTGTAATGGGTAAAGAAGGAGCAGTGTTGCTTTTCAGCCAAGGGAGGGGGTGTGGTGTTGGTGGGGGCACAGTGATTGGTGTTTGCTGTCTCCTTTGCTCCTGCTCTCAGGGTGACCCTGTGTGAGGCTGGAGTTCTGTGAGAGCCTTTACATCCAACGGGAGAAGAGTATCACCCTGTAGTGACAACAGGCCAGTCTTGGGATGTCAGGTATTTTTCTTGTTTTATTTCTCAAAACTTTATAAATGCTCACATGAATAAACAGAAGGTAAAATAGCCATAGAATGCAAGACTCCTCTTACTAAATTCAATTAAGAATAAATACTTCCCATTATACTAATTCTTATTTGCAACAAAACTACTATTTTATATCTAACTTTGGTGGTATATATAATTGGATCAGCCTGATCCAATTAAACAAGATAATAATATTTATTTTCCATTATGATTTTATGTGGGTGCCCCTGTTAACTACTGCTCTGAGTATCTTCAAGAGCATCCTTGCCTTTGCAGGAGCAGAGATGCCGCCCTGTGGGATTCACCTCCACTCCAAGGGGTCTTCCTTCCTTTGAGTGGACAGAAGTCCATGGGTGAACATGTGGGTGGGCAAGAGGCTGCTGGACAGTGTGTCTGTTTAAGGTCACAGTTCACTCTGATTATTCTGGCTTCTGGGTGTTATCATCCCTATGTTTTTAGAGAACTTGGTTTCATCAACAGGAACATGTCTCCCACACTGACAGTTGTCACAGCAGGAGTCAGGCTTCTTATTTGCACTTCATCTGATTGCTCCCACGGTTTTAAGGTGATGGCAACAGACACAGCCACTTTCGTGTGGATCACTAACTGCTATAAAGTGACTTCTGCTGCCTTAAAGTTTAAAAAATCCAAGTGCCAAAGTGCATATTGTTAAAATAAATCCATTTCTACAGAGAATTCTGCTCCTTCCTTCCCAAGGAAAAGCTTCTTTCTTTTAGATAATTAATGTCTTTAGATGATATTCTTACACTGCGGGGGACAGAGTAGTGTGCAAGTGTTTGCTCCAGAGATAGGAACCTGGACTTGAATTCTGGCTGTGGCACTAGCTGGGCACTTTGGATATGTTACTTAACTTCTCTGAGCTTCAGTTTCCTTTCTTAAAGGATCATTGTGAGAACTAAAAGTAAGTGAACGCCTACCAAGCATTTGGAATGTTGCTTGGTGCAAAGAGGGGAGTCATCAACCACAATAGCTAATAAATGCTAGGTATTGCATTTTTATTTCTCTTGATTTAAACTTTTTGATATTTAATTACTTACCAGGAAAGAATTTCAGTTATGTTAATCCATTTTCTCATACCTTTCCCCATCTTCTCATAATATCACTATATTACTAAGTTTATGTCCTGTATTAGAAATCTTTGTAGCTTAAAACACTTTATTTAAACTTTCCTTTCTGGGGTCCTCAGGTGCAGCCAGTATTTCCTGACTCCTCTCTGGTTGAAAGAACTTTGAAAATGAAAAATTTTTGAAAACTCAAACCCACATCTCAAGAAGATTAGAAAGATATTTTATTCATAAAGTGAGAACAAGATGCATGGAAAAGGGAGATAAATAATGAAACAAACAAGAAAAAGAAATATTAATCCTTTCCTTCCTTCAGGGCTTCATCTCCCAATTTCTAGCAGTGTGCTTTAATTTTCATACCGATCAACAACAAATCCATTAGTTCTCATGTTTAAGTGCTCTGTTTTGGGAATATTCTGGCACTCCACTTTTACTGCCATGGACCAGGGTTTGATATTTGGTCGTGGTATTAAGATCCCACAAGCCATGCAGTGCATCCACATATATATATGTAAATGCTGAGTTTTGTTCAAAAAGTTAAAAATCAAACAAGAGTGTTAACATTTTTTATCTCCAACATTAACTCCATTTCTTTCAAAGTATTCCTCATATGATATTGTTGTAGCCAGGCATTCTGGGAAACAAACTCACTCAGAAGGACAGTGCAGATAGTGGAGTGCAGTTTATTACACCTGCGGGCCCAAGGCAGAGTCTCCTCTTAGCCAAGGACCCCGACCAGTTTTTGTGAAAACCTTATATACCCTAAGTGTACTTGCTCAAACCCACCTCTCCAAATTCCTTGAAACTAGTCTGGACAAGGTAAAAGATACAATCAAAGTTAACCCATGATTCATGTGTCACAAGACTAGATAAACAGTGGATATTTATCAATAGGCCTGTGGTCATATCCCGATAAACATAGTGGAATCTACCACTTTGTTCTGTTACAGAGATAATTAGCATATTCTTTTAGGCGATGGAGAGTCCAAGTACAAATCCTGAGGCTCTTTTATCCGTGGGGTCTGGTTTTCCATTGGTATGCCATTTCTATAGACACTGGGCGCAAAGTTCGGAGTCCATTGGGTAGGGTGAACATGCATGTAACCTAATGTTTGCAGCCTGGCCTAAAATGGAGCCCAGCTCTGTGTGTTTCCTCCTTCATTCTCCCCTCTTGAGGCTCTTAACTCATATTATGAGCATCATTCATAGGGATATATTGCACCCTGGCTCTCCGACCTCCAATTTGGGAGAATGACATCAACCTTCGGGTTACAAAGTTCATCATACATTGTAAAATTCAGGGTCCACAAAGCAAAACTATCAAGGCAACTATAACAATGGTAAATATAGTTTCCCACCAATCGCTCTTCACCCAAGATAGGACCGAAGTCCAGAAAGGAATGTTTTCATTTGATATTGATTTTACCTGGTTTTTCATGTCATCTAAAGCAGTTGATACATTGCCAGCTAAGTCAGGAATGCATATACAACATTCAACCTTAATTATAGCATAGGTCCCTACTTGAGCAGCTGTGAGTATGTCCAAAGCCATTCTATTTTGAATTACCGCTTTTCTCATTTGGATTTGCTCTTCATTTAAGGCTTGGATGGCTTTTGTTCTATCTAGGAAGGCCTGTTTTGTGAAGTTGGTCAAGGCCTCTACTTTAATCATTATATCTGTTGTCCCTACAGAGGGTACGAAAAAGGCAGCAAGATACTCATACTGCTCACACTCATACTAAAACTCACTCATACTGAAACACAGATCTTGTCCACCTAGAATGTAAATAAGGTAGATTTACTGGGGCTTGTTGCAGGTTAGGCTTTTGTTACACTGGCATTTATATCAAATGTAACCCCATAACCCAAGTCTATTGACTGTAGGTCTGGCTTACACCCAGAGAGCAGGGAGAGATTACAATTGTGTCCCAGAAAAGAGCAGAGTGGTTTAAAATCTCCTTGGCAGAGCGGTGACAGCCCCCAGGGAACTCCATCCATCACAGACAGAGGCATAGCCCCACATACCCAACAGTAGGAGGTACTGTGGAAGTTGGTGTAGGAATGTGCATGTTGATGAGACCAAGCAGCAGGAGTTTATGCGGCTTCATCCTCAAGGGGCTCATCTGGGATCTTCTTTTCCTTCTTCTTAAGGATGGTCTTAGTCTCTCGAGGGTCAGCGGGGTCCCTCTGTGCAGTACACTCAACGTTTTCTGGGTCTGCATAGTATGCTCTCTTCACCCTCGTGTGATGGTTCCAAGGGGCAATACCTGAAACTTTAACTGCAGTAGGGGTAGTTAGAATAACAGTTTAAGGGCCCTTCCACCAAGGGGCTAGTAAATCAAGTTTCCAATCTTTGACCCATACTTGGTCACCACGCATAAACTCATGAATCTGTTCCCCAAAGGGGAATGGCACCCTTTCTTGTACAAACTTAGTTACCCGATTTATTACCTTATCCAGTTCCATCTGCTGCGAAATCCTATCCCCCCCTTACCTGAGGCAAATTTGTTGACACCTGTTTTTATTATGAAAGGGGGCCTCCTATACACAATTTCGCATGGGGAACAGCCTTGGGACTGTGGGGTCATCCCGAGTCTGAGCGGAGCCGTCGGAAGCAAGTCCACCCAGGAGCAGTCAGTCTCTATTATCCAGTTGGAGAGTCTCGTTAAGTGTCCAGTTGGTTCATTCCACCATCTCAGAACTCTGGGCCTATATGCAGTGTGCAGTTTCCATTTGATGTTTAAAGTTTTTCTTACTTGTTGTACTAAATCAGCTATAAAAGCCGGGCCATTGTCTGATCCAGTGCTGGTAGGATATCCAAATCTGGGAACTATTTCCCTAATCAGGCACCAGGCTACTTCTGATGCTTTCAGTCCAGGTAGGAAAAGCTTCTACCCATCCCGAGAACATATATAGCATGACCAGCAGGTAATGGTAGTGTCGGTGATGTTTCATTTCAGTGAAGTCCACTCCTAGGTGTTCAAGGGGCAGCGTGCCTTTCAGCTGAATATCCGGAGGATTTTGTCAGAATACCCGAGAGGCAGCATTAACCTGTGAGCAGGCAACATGGCCTAGGTAGGTCGCTTGGTTTGTTTGGCTTACCAGAGTGTGTGCCAGCTCCTCCAGTACCAATAATTTGCCACTTGGCAATTCCCACCATCCCTTTTTAGTCTTGATGGCCCCTTCCACTTTGGCTAACCTGACAGCCATTGTCCTTGTTTTATCAGGCTAGTGCCATCAGTATATAGGACCCAATTAGGGTCTGGAACCTTGTGCCCTTCTTTAGAACAAACCCCAGATACCTTACCTCCTCTTTGTAGATCTGCACCTTCTTCTTTGACACCCAGTAACCTGTTTCCATCAACAGCTGGAGCAGGGCTTTTGTCCCTTCCCAACATTTTTCCTTGGTCTCAGCAGCCAGCAGCAGGTCATCCATGTACTGTAGGAGCCAACATCCAAACTCTTCCAGATGGAATGAGTCCAGGTCAGAAGCCAAGGCTTCCCCAAAGATGGCTGGGGCGTTCCTAAACCCTTGTACGGGAGTCCAGGTGAACTGCTGTTTGGTGCCCCTGACTGGATCTTCCCATTCAAAGGCAAAGATGGGCTGTGATGCTGGGGCGAGGTGTAGGCAGAAAAAGGCATTCTTGAGATCTAGAAAAGTATAAACTTTAGTCCCCGGTGGGAGGAGGCTGAGTAAGGTATAGGGGTTTGGAACAGTGGAGTGTAAAGTCACATGAGCCTGGTTGACTAGCCTGAGATCTTGTACAGGCCTATAGTCCTGTCCTTCTTCCTTTTTGACTGGCAGGATCAGCATATTCCAAGCTGATTGGCACTCTACTATAGAGTAGCCTGCTTGTTTCAATCTATTGATGTGGGGCAGTATGCCCGCCCGGGCCTCTATTGGTAGCGGGTAATGGAGCTTTCTAACCTGGATGGTGCCTGGTTTGAGTTCTATTATCACTCGGGCTTGATGTTAGCCAGCCTGGGGAGGGGGGGGGTTTGTCTTCCACCCAGACCTCAGGGAATAATTGAGTTAGCTCTCTCTCATGCTCTTCCGGCCCACCCAGTTCTTCCTTCAGAGGCTCATGTAACCTCTACTCATCTTGGGGTGGTATTGAGAGAGAGAGCAAATAAGTCATAGTGCCCATCTGGAAGGGCACTGGTCTCTCCTCAGGGGAGAAAGTCACTTGTGCTCCTAGTTTGGAGAGCAAGTCTCTTCCCAGCAGGGGTACTGGGCACTCAGGAATGTAGAGGAATTCATGAATCACTTGGTGTCCCCCTCATCTGACATTTTCTGGGCTGGCAAAACGATTTAATCATCTCTTCTCCCGATACCCCAGTTACAGCGGTAGTCTTTCTGGACAGTGGTGCCACAGGTTTTGTTACTACTGACAGTTCTGCTCCTGTATCCACCATGAAGTCAATGTTTTGGTCCCCCACTTTTAAGGTTACTATGGGCTCTCGGGGCCCTGATATCTGTGAGCCCCAGCAGCCCTATTTAATCCACAAGTTAGCAAGCCCCACAACTGCGGGAGCTTCCTCTTCCTTCCTTGCCTTAGGGCATTCATTCTTCCAGTGCCAAAAGCTCGGCACCGGGCACACTGGTTTGGCTGTAACGGGGCCCAGGGCCTCTGTTGGGACCCGTTGAAGGACCGTCCTGTCCCTGGGGCAGAGGTATCCCGAGATAGACTTTTCCAGAGCAGCAACTAGCACAGTAAATTTCTTGTCTGTTCTCTTTCGTTCCCTCTGGCTCTCTGGCAGAGCGCAGTCTCTGCTTAATCCCTCCCCTTCCTGTCAGTACTCACCGGGAGAGGCAGGTATAGCTTGGGCAGTTCAGCTGGAGCCGGATCCTGGAAGTGTTGGCCAGAGGCTTCTGCCACCGGGATCAGAGCCCGCCGAGGTAGCGGCTCTATGACCTCCGGGAGAGCTGGCGGAGAAGCAGCGGCTGCTGCAGGAATTTCACCTGGCCCTGGATTGGGCATTAAGGCGACCTCTGGTCCTGGTGGAGCACTGGGCCGGCGGGTGAGTCATCATCCAGTATGGGGGAGGGGCAGGTCATCCTCGTCCAAATCCTGCCAAATCCCAGAGGGAGAAGGTGGATAGGTGTGTCTTCACCTGCCGGTCAGCAAGGCCAAACCAGAACACCACGTGTTCCACAACTGTTTCTCCCTTGAAGTCCATTCTGCCTTGGTGGACTTGATGAGGTGCAGATGAAAACATAAATGGATTAAATATTCCATGTCCCAGGCCATCTCCAAAAAAACCAATTCATACTCACTTATGTATCCCTCTCCTTCTAGCCTGACAATTCTGAGGGGGTCAAGAATTTCACAGCAGACAGGACACCTCCTGGGGGAAGGCAGAATATGAGCATACAAGGACCAGTTTCCTATCCTGAAAATGCCCTGGCAATTGCTAGTAATAATTTTCCCTGAGATGGCACCTCCTTTTTTTTTTTTTTTTTTTTTTAGCTTGACCAAGTTTTTATTTTTTTTTATTTTATTTTTTTAAAATTTATTTATTTATTTATTTATTTATTTTTTATCACAACCGTAGTGTATCTTTTTTTTTTTTTTACATGTATTCCCCATCCCGGTACCCCCTCCCACCTCCTTCTCCACCCAATCCCTCTGGGTCTTCCCAGTGCACCAGGCCCGAGCACTTGTCTCATGCACCCAACCTGGGCTGGTGAACTGTTTCACCCTAGATAATATACGTGTTTCGATGCTGTTCTCTTGAAACATCCCACCCTCGCCTTCTCCCAGAGTCCACAAGTCTGTTCTATACATAGGAGTCTCTTTTTCTGTTTTGCACATAGGGTTATCGTTACCATCTTTCTAAATTCCATATCTATGTGTTAGTATACTGTAATGGTCTTTATCTTTCTGGCTTACTTCGCTCTGTATAATGGGCTCCAGTTTCATCCATCTCATTAGAACTGATTCAAATGAATTCTTTTTAATGGCTGAGTAATATTCCATGGTGTATATGTACCACAGCTTCCTCATCCATTCGTCTGCTGACGGGCATCTAGGTTGCTTCCATGTCCTGGCTATTATAAACAGTGCTGCGATGAACATTGGGGTACACGTGTCTCTTTCAGATCTGGTTTCCTCGGTGTGTATGCCCAGAAGTGGGATTGCTGGGTCATATGGCAGTTCTATTTCCAGCTTTTTAAGAAATCTCCACACTGTTTTCCATAGTGGCTGTACTAATTTGCATTCCCACCAACAGTGTAAGAGGGTTCCCTTTTCTCCACACCCTCTCCAGCATTTATTGCTTGTAGACTTTTGGATAGCAGCCATCCTGACTGGTGTGTAATGGTACCTCATTGTGGTTTTGATTTGCATTTCTCTGATAATGAGTGATGTTGAGCATCTTTTCATGTGTTTGTTAGCCATCTGTATGTCTTCCTTGGAGAAATGTCTGTTCAGTTCTTTGGCCCATTTTTTGATTGGGTCATTTATTTTTCTGGAGTTGAGCTGGAGGAGTTGCTTGTATATTTTTGAGATTAATCCTTTGTCTGTTGCTTCGTTTGCTATTATTTTCTCCCAATCTGAGGGCTGTCTTTTCACCTTGCTTATGAGATGGCACCTCCTAAATGACCTTCACAAATTCCTTTCCTAAGCCCTAGCACGCTCATCGACCTGTGTACCAAGCAATCACCGCCTGCCTATTCCAGGCTCCTGTGGGTCCGTGCCCCTTCTAGTCCCTCCCAGGGGGGTGATCAGGCCCCCTCTCCCACCCTGCCAGGTGGGTTCCTCCTTACCTGAGTGCTCAGTTTTCCCACTGCCGTCCACTACTTGCTAATGTGAAAGGTCTAGGCATTGAGAAGCAGAATCCTTCCAGAAGGGCGAGGCACCGTCCCCCCTCTAGAAGATTCAAGTCACAAGGCCTCGGAGTAGTCCCAAATGGGACTTGTCTCCTCAAAGTGAGGAGTTTCCTGGCCAACACACCAAATGTTGTAGCCAGGTGTTCTGGGAAACAAACTCACTCAGAAGGACAGTGCAGATAGTGGAGTGCAGTTTATTACACCTGCGGGCCCAAGGCAGAGTCTCCTCTTAGTCAAGGACCCCGACCAGTTTTTGTGAAAACTTTATATACCCTAAGTGTACTTGCTCAAACCCACCTCTCCAAATTCCTTGAAACTAGTCTGGACAAGGTAAAAGACACAATCAAAGTTAACCCATGATTTGTGTGTCACAAGACTAGATAAACAGTAGATATTTATCAATAGGCCTGTGGCCATATCCCGATAAACATAGTGGAATCTACCACTTTACTCTGTTACAGAGATAATCAGTATATTCTTTTAGGCGATGGAGAGTCCAAGTACAAGTCCTGAGGCTCTTTTATCTGGGGGGTCTGGTTTTCCATTGGTATGCCATTTCTATAGACACCAGGCACAAAGTTCGGAGTCCATTGGGAAGGGTGAACATGCGTGTAGCCTAATGTTTGCAGCCTGGCCTAAAATGGAGTCCAGCTCTGCCTGTTTCCTCCTTCAATATCGTGTCCCCTGTCCCCACAGAATCTGGACTTCTTATCCCATTCTGGACTGGTTTCTCTCTAGGTCTGCTGCGTGCCCAGCTAGGATCCTTGGATTCCCTTCTCTCTGGTTGATGTTCCTGATTCATGGATCCACATCTTTCATGGTTATGTCTTATCTCACCCCATAAAAACACACACACCTCTTTTTCCCCTGCAGCTCATTCCCAAATAACTTTCTCAGAAACATCTGTGATGGTAACCTTTCCATTCCCCATTTAGCTCCATTTCTTCTGTCATTTGTTCAATTTTCTGCAAGCTTTCTTTGAATTTCTTTTCCATCCTTTCTTTACAGTTATTTTGTAAACACTTTATTAGTTTCCAAGATCTATTTTTGTTTGTTTCGTTATTTATTTCCCTTTTCCATGTATCTTGTTCTCATTTTATGAATAAAACAGGTTTCTAATCTTCTTCAGACATGGGTTTGAGTTTTCAAAATTTTTCAATTTTCAAAATTCTCTGCTTTGTGACTTCTCTGGTGGTTCAGTGGGTAAGACTCCATGCTCCAATGCAGGCAGCCCAGGTTCCATCCCTTGTCAGGGAAGTAGATTCCACAAGCTCAACAAAGAGTTAAGATGCCACAGCTAAAATATCCCACGTGCCACAACTAAGATCCAGCTTGGCCTAATAAATAAATAATATTTTAAAATTATCTGTTTCTTCTGATGTCATTTTTATCTCTTTTTTCCAGGTTGTCATATTTCTCATATGTCTGATCCTGGATTGCCCATTCATATTAAGATGGAGAAGGGCTGACAGGCACATTTTTGTAGAGTGATTGGATGAGGACCTGCGATTTCCATAAAACAGAAATTTTTTTCTGATGTCTTTCCATTTTGATTTCCCCACTTTGTTGCAAACTTAAGGTTGCTGTGAATATGGCATGCACCATGGGATTGGTGAGCTTGTCCCCTGGTCTCCCCTCTGGCTCCCTCTCATCTTGGTCCCTCTCTGGGACTCTGCCATGGGACCATTTTTCTTGGCTCTACTCACTCTTGCTGTTTCTCTCACTCTACTCTTCTCTATTCAGCTATCACTTCTCCATTCACTCAGTCCTCAAGTATGTGTTGAAGACTCTAGGCTCCTATTGCCACCATTCAGGCTTTTTTTTTAATTAGCCACAGAGTGAGGAGAGGCAGAGTATGGGTTCTTAAGCCCAAGAGTGGGTTGGAATCCAGTCTATGCTGAGCCAGGTTTCTGACCTTGGGCAAATCACAAAGCATCTATGCTTCAGCTTCCTTAGCTATAAACAGGGATACATGGGTACAGACTTCCATCTTATCAGTAAATATGCTTTCTAATTTGTGAAATCTTAGAGCAAATACCAGTGCAGAACAAAATCAGAAACACAAACCACTCTCATCAATAGCTGTTGCTGTAACTATAAGGATCTTTACTATCATTTCAGCCAGGTTTCAGAAGGGGTAGTTAATAAGTGCTTTCTTTAATTCTTAAAATAGCACATAAACATAAGCAACATTTGCTTTCTTTCGTCATCTCACAGCACAAGATAGTCACAACCAGAATCAAAAGAGATTCTGTCAACATAAAGATCTGCTACTTAAACAACTGAGAACTGGCAAGACTGAAAGGCTGGACACACCATATATCATGAGTGTGAATGTAAATTGGTGTAGTTTCTTTCCAAAGCAGTGTGGTTCTAAGTATAAAAGAATTTTAGGTGTTGATCCACTCAGACAGTTATTCTACTTCTGAAATAACTTAAGGAAGCAGTCTAATGCATGCAAATTTTTCTACAAGAAGGGGGTACTTTGCACTATTATTTACATAAATAATTAGAAAGAGCTCCAATTTTAACAGTCAGGGAGGACAGCAGAGAGGATGGGGCACCATTCAGGTCCTCAGCCACCCAGAGCAGGGCTGCAGGGATGGGGTGGGGCTAGTGGGACTCCGGGCCCTTGTGGGATAAAGACTCTTGCAGAAATTAGGAGGACATGGGCTGTGGGAGCTGAAGCACCAGGAACCTTATCAAGGCAGAGACCTGAGCACAGGGAGCAAGACATCATTTCAGAATGAATGAGAAGAGCTATTTACTGACAAACATATCCACAAGTATATGTTTTTGTATATTAAAGGGCACAGAGCATAGTCATCACAAACCTGGGATTTGGATCAGAAAGACTTGTGTTGAAGTCCAGGCTCTGGAATCAGTGTGAAAATTTGGGCTGACCTAAGTTTAGGTGAGTTTCAGGAGTCTACAAGTCATAGATGCTAGATCAGTATCACCTATTACCAATCAGTAACACAAGTGTTCCCAGCCTCACATAATTTCCAGAGTATTCCTTCCTGTCTGTTCTTCTTTGTCTGGCTTTATTGCTCCTATAACTTTGCAGATGACTATCTCCTGTCTTATTACCTGTTCCTTATACCCCTACAGGAGATCAGGACTCTGATTGGCCTGGAGGGAGCTGGTGGG